ATAACTTCTATGCAGGGGATACATTTTTGTGATGACTACCTTACTGTGACTACTCCGAAACACGTTTAAGAATACCGTTAGGTCCAGCGCGGCGTCCAAGATTCGTCACCAGACCGCCTCCACAACTCGATCAGCGTAAGACCGCACTGAGTTGACGCGCTCAATCGAACCACAACTACGAAAAACTTCCACGCTACTCGAAACCCTTGCCGCTTTTGTCCAAGCAAAAATATACAAATGTGTTCTCCCTAAGCTGTACAATTTATACACCTATCGAAGTGACCACTGTCGTGCCGGTGACGTCACTCAGTCTATTCACAGTCCAATCCTAAATCCTTAAACGTTAATTATCCGGAACTGTTGCAACTCAGTCGACGATCTCCGCGAGGGCTCTTCGATCTTTGCCACCACAAACGTTGCGGTATCGAATATTTACTTTAATAAAAACTATAAAGTTAAACATCGTTTGTCGATTAACAATCGGGGCTGCCAGACGATTGTTATTCATATGCCGACAGTCCCGGTAATTACGCGATTATGAAAACAGCCAAAAAATACGTCTCTTTTTTATTGCAATTTACACTGAAGAACACAAATTTAAATTTGCACCTAATCATATAATCACGCAACCCAGCATCTTCTATAACCTGGTTAAACTGAAAACGTGAGAAGCCTCAATGTCGCGCGACCATAGCTGCTGATAATTTACGAAAAAAAATAATTAAAAAATTGCCGACGTTTATTTAAATATAGCAAACCTACAACGTGCATGTTTGCACACGGGATGTTATGTTCCAAACAGTATTGAAGCATCAGTTCGCGCAGGTCTCTTCGGATTACATCGATTGAGATATTTATTTATTTGTATGAATTTCTACATAATATATTATTGCACTTTCAATAAACGATTTATGCCGTCGATGAATTATATATATATATTTGAGAAACGTTTCGTAACTTCCATACGTTCGTACAAATTATTGCATAAAATTATCGATTTCGGTTATCTCAGCCACTTAAACCTATAATTATATAGACATAAATAAAAGTAGTAGTCTGGCGTCACTATAGGAACGGAGCCAATGTTACAATGTGGTTAATCAATATAATTTTCATCGCGCACAAAACTGAACTAAATGAATGACTAAATAAAATTATTACTACAAATACGACTAAAGTCGGTGTGCTGAACGTTGAAAAGCTTCATATCCCGAGATAATGTACTTTTAACTATATATCTACGTACCGTAGGCCTGTTTCTATAAGCATGAAGTTGAGTACGCTTGTGGTAAATAATAAATACTACAACTTTTCTTTCAAATACAGCAAAATTTAAAATCTCTATTCTATTTTAATATAACCAAAAAAAAAAGTGCCGAACATATCAAGAAGAATTTTTAACTGATAAGAATGCTTGGTCATAATGAGTTTTCTCTGAGTTTCTTGATATGTTTTATAAAGTTAAATTGTAACTATTGAGATTAAAATAAACTACTCATGAGTTTGTTGCCGCTTCTTATCACACGATCTCCCGCAGTTGGGATTTGTTGAAGAGATGACGTAGTCTTTTGACTTTCAAAAGTGCTCTGTAAAGGCAAATTTTAAATAAAAATATTTTGACTTGACTTGAAATATCACAACCTACAAAAAAGCAGCAACAACCCAAATTATTTCAGCGCTCAGCACACCGCGGACAAGACGAAGACAGACACAACAAACACACCAACTTAGTATAGCCGGGAATCTCCTACGTTATTGGTAATTCATTACTTATGTAACAAAAGTATAATTACACCACACTCACTCGGAAATAACAATTAGAGAACGCACAGGACTTACGAAAATAAATGTATAAGTGCGTCGCTATAATTAGATAAAGCGATATACAACTACTCTGTAAGTATCGATTCTTTTTAAACTACGACATTTTATGATATTGATGTAACGACCATAACGTACTAAATCCGCGGTTTTGTTCGAGCGCTACGAGTTGGAATGGACCTTCGATGCGAGGGACGCTACTGATAAAATAAAATCGAACTCTCGTCCCAAATAAAAAAAATATAAATAACTCGTTAGAGGGTAGACAACAAAAAATAACTCACTACGGACGGGAACACAAACCTGAAAGCATCGCCGCCTACTCCCCGCCTACATACGACAGCAAAACAACTCCGTGTTTCTACATAACTTTGGTTTTACGTAATTTGAATATAAAGGCACGTGTAAACTCTATAATATAGAAAGAAAATAACACAGCGTAGTTGATCGCCACTATTACTATATCTATTATTAAATAGCAGCGACAACAGTCGTGGTAAAATTCTATACATTATGCTGACCGTACCATTGACTTGGTTCAATTGGAGTATGATGTGTTATTAGAATACAATTGACATATTGTAGAACTATGAGCACACGCAGAAGAATATCGAGGATTAGTTGGATAAATGCAGGCGTCCTGCCATCTTTAATTCATTTACATAGTGTACTACAAAATGAATCGCACTAGGTAGCAATGTCTATAAAAAATATCATTAAATGTCTATAAAATTAAGGCAAGTGATTTCATTTAGGAGTTGCCCTTTATTTTCTATTGCATTTCTATTATTTGGACATATTAAATTGTCTATTGAAAATCCCCTCGATTCAACAGAAAAAAATCAGCTCTTAAAAATCATATTACCGTAATACGTATATGGTCCGTAGGCACTACACGAATACCGAAGCACCTAGTCTACCATTTCTTTGCCTCATGAATTTCAAATGAGATCCACGAGCAGCAGTCCAGACGACAGCAGAGATACCAAATATCAATCTTATGTACAGGGTAAAGTAAGTCTTAAATTGTTCTGTTTTAAATTAATGAGTGATTGAATAATTATAACTTTTAACAAAAAGTAATAACCAACTTCAAATTGCTAAAAAAGAAGTTATTTATTTGCTACCCTTAGGGGTGGAATTTTTTTTCTTTACATGGGATCCCCCTTGAAGTGCAATCTATTTAATAAAAAAGAAGCATTAAAATCGATTCTCAAACTGCGAAGATATCGCGTAACGTACATACAAAAAAAAACATAAACTCGAATTGAGAACCTCCTCCTTTTTGAAGTCTGTTAAAAATGGTCTGTATACTGTATACTGGTATTATTGTTAAATATATACATAACAAAATCGATGTAAAAATTATCTTTATATAACCTAAAATGGTTATGACTTTGTGTCTTATTAAAACTTTGCTTCTAAATTTCGTGTTATTTATAAAGATACATACATACGTTATTGCTAGTAGTGGTGCTCGTAGCACATTCTTGCATATATACAAAGTACTTAAATATTTGGATGAGCCTTTGATTTAACCACACGTAAAAATCAAGATAAGTAGCCTTATACAATTTAACAAACAAAAGATTCCTAGCTGCTACTTTTTATAATTACTTAATGATTGCAGTCAATTCTCATTAAGAGTACATATTACACATGTCAATTTGAAATTTCTAAACAAGTTATCGTCCAAACTTATGTATATGATACTGTTGTATATGAATCGCTTATTTACTACTGACAGAAACTGTTTTCAATAGTATGCAACTTGAAATATAACAATTTTTAAAACATTATGTCTATCATCAGTATATTTCTATGGATTTAAGGATAGGTGATATTATTTCTTAAAACATCTGTAATATTTAACATCAAATGACAAATTTTTCATAGTTTACAAGTTTTATGACCTCCAAAACAGTGTCGCTCAATTAAGTACAGCTGTCAAATTTGATTACTCAGATGTGACAGCTGTCAAATAAGGAGTTTTACAAATACATTTTGACTGATAAAAATGGCGACTTGAATCTGTCCAAATCGAGTACGTGGAATCGCTCTGTATACTGCCGTCCGAAATCAAATGCCGAGTATATATATTTTTTTACAATTTGATGTTTCTACCGTACTAAAAATCTAAGTGTCTTTTAGATTAAATTGTAATAATCGTGTGAAGTATACGATTTGTAATATTGCGTCAGAGTTTTGATTTGAGATTAAATAAAAGCTGCCATACCATTTCCAGTCGCATCCATGTTTTTATCTAAAACTAAATGACTGTGTGGTACTTTTACTAAAGCCACAATCTTTTAATGGGGTACCTATAGATTACTTTCGCTAAATGAACTGCTCAACTAAATAATAAATAAGAACATAAAGTGAGTATTTTACAATGATTTCCATAAAAATGATATTACTATTAAACGAAATGACGTAGAAATGAATAAAAATGAAATACGAGGGTGATGTCCTCCAGGCTTACTATCCTAACAACACTGTGTATTAAGTAGGCGCGTTAACACAGTACTCCCCTTAACCTGCTTGTGCCCGATATAACGTTTATGTTGTAAGATCGGAAGTAGGCTCGGACAGTGTCGAATTTTAACTCGAAAACTAACAATGTGTATTTGAACAAATGTTAGCTTGGGGTTGCATCCGCGGTCAGAACGTGTAGTATGTAAAGAAAGAGAACCGTCGTGGCGCAAAAAGTAACCAACAGTTAAATTTTGAAATAATCCTTTTGAATGTTGTATAAACAAAACAGTTAAAGTATACATATAGTATATTTTATATGAATGTCCCAAATCTTACAAACAAACTCTTAATAACATCTTAATGACAAAAAAACACAACGAAATCGCCACCGTAACACTATCTAGCATCTTCAAAGGCTTAGACAACAAAAACGCACCCATAACACTCCATCAGTCTTCTTCAAAGACTTGGACGATTCTCTTTCAGCACAAACTATACCTACGTATAAAATGCGACAGCGGCTTGTTTCGGACGGCAGAGGTCCCGCTTGGAACCAGGCGTGGTAGAGTTCCGCGTACAGCGCGTGTGCGAGGCAGGGGGTGGGGCGTGTGCGGTCAGTGCGTGCGGGGGGCGGGTGCGGGGGCAGGGGCGGGGGGCGCGGGGCGGGGGCAGGGGGCGGGCGCGGGTCACGTGGCACACACGCGTCACTTGCCCGCACGCGCCGCGCACTTCTTCTTTTTACGCTTGAAGAAACAGCAGCATCTGGAATAAACGGATTGCCTACATGACGATTTACAGAGTCTGCTTGCGATTACTTTCATTGTTGATACAGTAACCGATTTTAATCAAATTACGTAACAACATACATAAAATGAAATAGAAAAACAAAACGCAAAGAATGACATGTGATAAAAATAATCTATAAAATTAAAATATCCAATTGGTGAGTCTCTCAGTAATAGCGACAATGGCGAATTTGCCGTACAAAAATTTATGTTAGCATAATTTTTATGCGTCTATAGAAAAAAAAATGTAAATTAATGCGTTTAAGCTCCTAAACAATTTCGTTTTTACTATACTGTTAAAGGAAGTTAGAAATTAAAGATCTTTATTTACGTAATCAAAAGATTGCTCAGCGAGCTATGGAGAGGGCTATGCTCGAGGTTTCTCTGCGTGATAGACTAAAAAATAAGGATATCCGCAGTAGAACCAGAGTAAGCGACATAGCACAACGGATTTGTAAGCTGAAGTGGCAATGAGCTAGCCGACCGACAACCGGTGGGGAAGAAAGGTTCTCAAATGGCAACCTCGTGCCGGTAGACAAAGTGTATGGCGGCCCCAACTATAATATAGTATATATTATAGATGGATTGACAACCTGGCAAAACATGCAGGAAGTCAAAGGATGCAGATGACTTAGAACCGCGATTTATGACATTCCTTGGAGGAGGCCTATGTTCACCAGTGGATAAATATAATATGTAATCTATAGAGTTCTATTAGTTATAGCGCCATTCACGTAGCAACCGCAATACGAACCGACGGTCAAACCGACGCAACGACAGTTCGTACACTTGTTGCAACTTAGTCGAACGGACAATTGGCGAATAACAATGAAAAGTCGTCTGGCATTAGTTGTAGAATGCGGTTAGTTCTGCTGTATAAATCATTTCATTATAGTAAAAAAAAAAAGAAAAGCTGCATTATAAGTTATTTTAATTATTGGAATATGTGGCTCAAAAAAAGAAATCTTTCCTAAACTTCTTTCTAAATGCAGCTCTCTTTATAATATTTTAGTCACATATTTTTTTATTTATCTAAGGGTAATACTTATTGGTATTATTAAGTAAAAAAATCCAAGTTGTCGAACACTACACTGACCACAAACCCGTATCTCTTACATAAATACAACAATATAAACTCTGTCATAAATTTCTTTTAATTTTTTCTTCCAGCTTTAATATTTGACACCCACACCTTGATATTAATTGGCAGACTGATCAGCTTAGACCTTCGAACCATCGTAAACATACTCACGATACGATGGATGCGTGTCGCAAGTCATGACCTTGCAATACAAATTGGTCAAAAGTGTTTGTAATAAAAATGGTTTTTGACAATTCATTAACATGATTTGAAAAACCTTATGAAATTATTTTATCCATATCTATCTATAGTGATGAGTTTTATAGACGCTTGGAAATTCTATCAACAATTATTTCGCCATTGTTCTTTTGGGAGTTAATTTTATTAGACTATTTAAGACTTTTACCATTAATTTTTATCAAAATATAAAAATACAGACGGTGCTGGACAATAAAATAAATAGGCCAAAAATTAAAGTCATTCACAACATAGAAGTTCTAATAACATTAGATTTCGAAATTATTACTAACAAATCATATAAGTAGTTATAAACTTCTATATTGCGTAGTATTAAAAAAAATAAAAAGAAAAAAACGTCCATACAGTTGAAACACTGACTTGGTGTCGTCGACCACGTCCACCTCATGGTGCGGTTGCGTGATGGGGGTATTGCTGTGACCCGCAGTGGGATCGTCTGCTCCCAGTTCCCCGTTCGTAGAACTCACCACCTGTACGCAAAAGTTAGAATACCATAATCAAAACAACAATTGACTTCTGTCCACTACTTTATTTATAAAAATTCGCATTTGTTTGCTAGCAGTTATAATAAAAACAAAAAGTCTTAATAACAAAGTCCAAGTTTTTTATATGTATTTTATCCGTATATAGTAAGTTCAATTGACATACACGAGATTTATAAATTATGAGAGAAATGAAGGCGTCTGTAGTGCAGCTTTTATAACATATTAACGTTTACAAATATAAATTAAAATTACTTTATTGAATTTTCAAAGAAAATCAAATCATTCATCAATTTTAAATGTACATTAAGCAGAAAACACATTACTGAAATATGTGTTTTTGAAAGATTTTGCCACGATATATAATTATAGAAAATTAACAATTACTTGCAACACGTACGTGTTCATAGATGCTAAGAAGTACCTACATGAAGTTTTAAATTTATCAAAGGTATTCCATATCTCTAAATAGAGTCCGAGATCTAACGAAAGGAGACGTCACATAAGTCATTTGAAAATATTTCATTGTTTGTTAGCTATCAATTTTTGCAGTATTTTTTTCAGTACAACATTTAAATGAGAACAATATGTCCTGACGCAAACGAAAAAGCTTTCCAACTGTGTGTAGCTAATCAAAATGCAGATGCGCTGTCACCTAAGATGAAATATATCATTTCCATTAAAAAGTGACTCCGGTTCTCTTCTCTATACTCTCCATACGATACACACATCTGCTTTAAACTGCTGTTTCACGCTGGTATTCTGTGAGAGCGTGGTCTTTTCCGGTCGAGCTGACCCATTCGTGCTGGAGCCATAATATTCCTAGCTGCAGCATGGCTCTACCACGATGAAGCTCCTTCTTGTATCACTAATAATAACTGGTGTGATATGTTTAAGCGTGGTCGTAGCAATCTCACTGATGATCTACGTGAGAGATTAACTTCAAAGCAACAAGTTAAGTTAATATCTGTGCTGTGTGGCACACGATAGATGCTATTAAAAATAAACTTTCCAACTGATTCAGACAAGCTTAGGCATTTGTACGAGTCAAATATAAAACAAACTTTCAACGAACACTATGGCGCCAACAAGCTTGATACTAGATTGATGGGTATCCTATAATTGGATATACCCTATGATCGGACTCACGCAACGCTAGGAACGTACAAGGGAGTCACAGGTGATAAGAGCGAATTGTTACGAATTTTCCAAAATGTTATTTGCTGTGGGTGTTTCCTTTTAAGAATTTGGCAACAAACGTAAAGAAAGGAAGAAGGCAAGGATAAAAGATTATTGCCTCATTCTTTAAAGGGACATTGAACTTTTGGGGAGGACTGTACCATTATGCTAAAAAAAGTTATGACAGACCGATATATTCACTATTGTCAGCTCCCTCGAAGCATTATCCTCCGTTACCACGACAACGCTTCCTATTGCAGACGAACAGTCAAATATTCGACTTCAGCATGGGTAATGAATAACCCGAAATTAAGTCTCGACTTGGCATATCTGACATCAAGTGCCCCAATATAATATGCATGAAGTGCCCCAATATAACTGTGATTTGGTCCAGTTACAGCAAAACACTACAAATCCTTTACAAGCTCCCAACGCTCTCTCCCCCAGCCATTAATCGATTGTAGGCATTATACATTAAACGAAACATCCGAGGATGAAGTGTTCTAAAACAACTAATTACTGGCATACAGATAACACAACGCTTCTAGTCATGACGCAAAACGAATGCAGTATCTGCAGAGAAGACTTAAAGCTATCACCAAAAATTAAGCTTATTATGTGTCTATCAAAAAACACAGCATCGCTTATGAAGAAGCAGTGAGCACTCACCTTTATATTGATACTACTGTATTGTAAATCAATCCATAGATAATGTTTATCTATGCACTGTCACCGCAAGGCTGTTGTTATATTAGTGTTATATTAGTGTTTGGTGCCTGCTGGTATCGTTGGGCGTGTTACTCGCTGTTGTGCTAGATACATTTAAGTTGCGCTACAAAAGTACTACAAAGTTTTATTTGAAATGAGTGGTAACGCTGATTCTCCGCAGCATGTTGGGGAAAAAGATGTAAACGTTATAGATACGATTCGATTATACGATTATTATGATTTGATTACGACTCGTCTTCGTCAAGCTCATCGTCTCCTTCTCGATCCGAATGTGGAAGGCCTCCTTTCAAAATCAGAAATGTAAAAGAAGACCCACGCATAAAGGCTCTCATAAACCAGGTAGGATTTATATCAAACATATATACATGCAGTCTCGGCAGCTCGCAAAATAACCTACAAGATGTTAATGCCTATACTTGTGATAACTTTCTTACTATACCAAAAGAAAAGCCCATGCTTAATCTAGGTTCAATAGCCATCAATATTGATGGAATTAAAATAATAAAACCAGCCCTTCCGGAGAGGGTTGAGAAAATAAAGATATTGCAACATTTTGGCTTGTCCACATGGCAAAATGTAAGATATTCCAAGACTCTACAGTCTTTTATAGCTACCCCAGGGTTCAGTCAACTTAGGGTTAATGACGTATTGTGCCATCTGAACAAATCAAAAGATTATTTATCAGGTACTGAAAGTGGAATGGCAGCATTATCAAATGCTGTTTTTGAAAGCAATGAATTACTCCGAGCAGGCTTACAGTCAGTAGTGGATTGGGCTGCGAAATCCCCAGAGAAATTAAATGCACCAGCACTTGCGCAAAAGAAAAGCTTACTTGTTTGACTCTCGGTTTCTTCTCCCGCATTTTCCTTGTAAAAATAGCGATGGTGGCCTGAGACCGATTTTCGACCTTCGGGAGTTGAACAAGTTTGTAGGAACAAAGTATTTTCACCTTATAAGCCATAGCAAGGTAACAGATTTCCTTCAACCTGGAGATTGGATGGTAAAGGTCGACATTTCACAGGCATATTTCCACCTATCTATAGCAATGTCACACAGACCTATCCAGCGACTTTTTTACAAACAAAAATGGCTTCAAATGAACTCACTCCCATTTGGTCTATCATCAGCCCCCGGGCTTTTCTCTGCTGTAACCTGCTGGGTCGCGGAAACCCTACAAAAGAAAGGAATGCGGGCCCTAGTATACCTGGGCGATTTCTTATAGTGCACCAGGACCCCTCCAAGTTAGTATCACAGACCACGGAGGTGGTGTAAAGCTCTTGGAGTTCCTTTTTTTTTATAGAAATAGGGTGACAAATGAGCACACAGCCCACCTGATGGTAAGTGGTTGCTGAGGCCCATAGACATCTACATCTCTCTTCGCTTGCGAATGAAAATGCAGATCCGTTGTCACCCGTGAGGACTAAGACAGAATGCCTCCTTTCCAGTAAAAAGGGTCTCCGGTTCTCTACACTCACCATACGAAACACAGCAGCATTAAGCTGCTATTTTACGTTGGTATTCCGTGAGAGCGTGGTCCTTCCCCAGTCGAGCCGACCCATTCGTGCTAGAACTACACTATTAATATAGCTGCAACATAGCCCTACCACGTAAACCTTTTCAAGATAGTGGAACTGTCAATTGGGATGGATATTCCCGCCACCATATTTGATTCCGCGAGTACTCTCACATCTCAAAAAGTCGAGAGGTACCGTCCAGCTGGTAGCACCAGATTGGGAAAAAACGTTTTGGAGAGCGAACAACAGGACTTCCACCTACGCAAGTAAACCGGCTAACCCTGAAAGTTTGGAAAATTGGGGGTGGGGAGAAAAATTAGCATCGTGGTCCGAGGCGGAAAAAGATCTTAGGTTAACCTGGCGTCAATCTACTCTGAATACCTATAAACCAGCACTTAAGCGATGGATGGCTTCGTGCAGAACTAAAGAAATCAATCTGGAGTCTCCCAGAACAGAAGAGGTGGCACAGTTCCTAGATGACACTATTTTAAAAGATGGTCTGGCATACAGTACAATTTTGGTACAAAAATTAGCTGTAGCAACATTCTGTGGAATGAAGGATAACATATCCTCAAATTTTCTCGTAAAGCAGATACTTAAAGCTATCCATAATTCTAAACCATCTAATTTAAAATCGTCAGCGTGGGATGTAAAGCAAGTAGTAGACTGGTTGAAGCAAAATCCAAAAGACAACTCATTATTTGAAATTTTAGGAAGAACTGCAACTATCTTACTGTGACATCTGGTCGTAGACTACACGACATGACGTTATTGAGGATTAAAGAATCGTACTTTACTGATAATGGGCGAGATTTTTTTGCACTGATTTTTTTTGGCACATTTTGCTTATGGCCAGTATTCGGAGCTAAGACTGATAACGGTTCCAGGCGGCAGTCTAGTTGGAAGCTGCTTCCTAATGAGGACAGTAACATATGTCCAGTGAAATGGATAAGACTCCTAATTCAGGCAACTAAGGAAAGACGGACTGACAAAATAGATGGGCATTTGTTCATTTCTATCAGAGGTACTCCAAAACCTGCCTCCAGAACAATAATAGGAGCATGGGTGCGCTCTGTATTAAAGGATACTGGAATAGATGCTACTCCTGGTTCTTGCGATCTGCAGTAGCATCCCTAGCCTGACTTGAAAACAGACCAATTGAAGAAATTTTAGAAAGAGGCAATTGGACTGCTGTTCAGCGACTAATGAATCATTACTGCCGAGAGATTAATGCACAGGAACGCGATAACGTAAATTATATTTTTGAGTCAAGTTAAAGAGGTACAATTTATGTTAAATAATTTAAGTTTATTTAGTTCATGACAATTTATTTTATGTGATGTTTTAACATATTATTGCAAAACAAGATTAAAACTATTAATAATTTTAAATTTGTCTTAATTACTTTTTACCTAATACAGATGCATAGTCTACAAGAATTATTTAAACAATAATTTCAACATTGCGTGTGTTATTGTTATTTTCTAGTCACCAGTAGATATCAAACACGTCTTCATAAGCGATGCTGTGTATTCGGATAGACACGTAATATAAACGTTTTACGCA